ATCACAAAACCAAGAACCCATTCGGAGCGAAAATTTGTATGAATATTAGTTTTTAGCTGCTCTTATACATCATTTAAGTAAAATCTCAGGAAGATCAATCGTTTTGTAGTTCGAATTTTAGTGACGTCATGTGAAAACCACCTATTGCAAAATGAAAATGAGATTGGTTAAGTAAAACTTTTGCTCTCTATTACAACCGCTCGTGTATTCCGGCCACTTGCTTTCGCTAGATTTGCTGTAAGAATAAATTGTTGGTCGTAAAACTTTCCATATTCTGGTATTAAAAATATATTCCAACTTCGTACCCTGGGCCGGGAATACCGAGAGTTCAAAAATTCAGTTAAGATCATTGCAAACATGGCGCGTTATTTTCCTGTGGGGCACAAATAACACGGGATCTGACGTGAAACTATCTCGTAAATTTGGATTTCTGTTCAGTTCAAGTCAATTTCGGAATGTTCTGTTTCAGTGCGTGAATCAAAAACGCGCGTTCACACGCACACTCGCCATTTGTGTCTGTTTCGTGCCCAGTCTTTACTCGACATTATTACAGGGCTAGCTCCGTGAGCGGGCGAGATGAACCGAATCCTACAATGTGATTGGCTACCCGAGCAGGCGCTATCTTGCCCGCTCAGGAAATGAATATGTGTTCTTTTTCCATATAATAAAGCCTTTATTGACCAAACTTGTTCGGTCAAGATGGATGGATATATTGGCCTTGTTCTCTTTTGTGTGTGTTTATGGACCAAGACGGATCATGGATGGAACTAGACTCCGTATCGCTCCATAAACACGCAAAAAAGAACTTGGCCAATATCCAGCCATCTTGACCTCACGCTTGGTCAATAACCTATCTTTCTTCCCATTATCGTCTATAGTACACAGAGCATCTTCGTGAACTTCTTGCTGAGGTTGTTTATTCCATACGATATCCACAAACATTTTAGTATTTGTATTGGTATCATACACAATTTTTTTTCTTTCAAATAACTTTATAACATATTTCATTTAAGGAGGCATTATGTTCAAATAAATAGCGTCATCTTTAAAGGGACACTGTCACGATATATTTGCTCAAAACTGTCATAAACTCACAAAATGGTCCCTAAATTTTTGCAAAATTTCAACGATTTTCGACCCAAACTCGAACCTTTGAAAAACTGACATCCTAACGCTTTTTCAAAAATCCTTATCACAATCCGTTTCCATCCTCGCCATTGTTAGTCAATCCTCACTTCCTAATGGGTTTTAATCATTTGCGGAGTACTGCTCTACAAAATAAAACCATTATTGTTCAGCTTCCAATGATCGATATATGTTTTTGAGATTTCCAAAATCATACTAAAAATGCTGATAGTGTCCCTTTAATACTTGTCTGCGAGTCCCTAATTCTCTACTTGTTAAGACTGAACCAGTCTAGCTGGAATCAACTGATTCGATTCAAGTAAAATCAGCCCTGATCTTCCTTGAACGTCACGGCTTCTAAACCATTCGTCACGTCGGCGTCAAAGTCCTCATTTTCCCATACAAAGCTTGATCCTGAAAAAGCGGAACAGAATTTAAAAAAAAAGAATTGAAACGCAGCAAACGCAAAAGCCAAAATTAGCTGCAACGTGCAATGTAAACAAAATATGTAAATAACCAGCTATTCAAAATTTAATTGAAGTTAAGCGCGCTAAAATATATCTGATGGTTTTGCAACAAATTGTTCTGGATTTGTTCTCGGTAGCCCCGAGTTCAACTCCTCGGCCGCGTTGTGTAAATAGCCAACTGGTCAGCCTCCCACCAGTTGGGATTCTTAATAGTTTATGTTATATTTGAACTATTTGTTTATTTATTTACAGTGTCCCCAATTAGCACATTAGTGCTAAATTCATCGACACTTAAATAAAGTGATTATTATTATTATTATTTATTGTACTCTAAAGCTTAATCAAAACAAGCTAGAGACTAACAACTAACATTTTGCAAACTAAGTCCAGGTTCCCTCCAACTGTTATAAGTATAAATCTGCCAGCGTTCTATCACGAATGCCGTTCTCTCATTGGCTGCGCTACTAGCTATCTATTCTATAGTGACTAGCCTAGCAGTGTGGAGTCAACAAAATGGCGGCCCTTTCTTTGCGTTTTCGAAGTGTCTGTGAGGAAAAATTAGATGAATTTTTGAACAACTAGCAGATTTATACTAAAGCAATTAAATTATTCGCTCTCGATTTCTTTGCGTGATAGAATCTCGAGCGCATAATCTATTCCTTTTAAAATAAATTGACTTGCGGACAGGTATAGAGAATACAGAAAACGATCAACTCAAGGACACTTGCCGTTAAGTATCCTTACATTCTATTGAGAGAGTCTCGAAAGAGCAGTGACCGATTACATTTGGTAAAAACAAAACCAAAGCAGTAACAAAGCCGCCGACTGCGTCTCCAATCAGAACTTCAAACAAAACAAATTACCGGTACAAAACGCGAGGAAAAAAGACCAGGTCACAACAGAAAAAATAATTCTGATTTGTTGCCAGGGCGGGGAAAAAAACCTGTAACCAGTACCAGGAGTGTGAGCCGGCTCTGCAGCTGATGGCAAGGGCGGGAAAAATTGTAACGGGTGGTAAGTTTGGAAAACCATGTAACTGACACAGGAAATCACCAGCCACGGATGTTAGGGCTTTGTGAATCTGATTGGCAAATAGATTCGAACTTTTTACTTCATTGGCTGGAACACTCGGGAATTCTGCCAATCATGAGGGAGGCGAGAAACCCGCTACATTTTCCCGACATATTCAAGCTCGATCCCAGAGCTTTTTCCCTAAAGTTTGGAGGAAAAGTCCTGAAAACAAAGTTGCAACATATCGTGGCGCTCGGGTAAGTTATGCGGGAAGGGCCATAAAACAGTTTGAAGCTCGTGTCAGCTGCGAATAACAAACGTCCCCAGTCCCCAGGGACCTTTTCCCTTTACATCGAAATGAGGCTGATCAATCGTGGAACACTCACACTGAATGGCGACAGAACAATCACTATAACTTGTATGAATGAGCTAGTAACTGGGCATTTCTGCATTAAACTCCAGTAATGGCCATGAAATCCCTGGATTCTACACTTTGATATAATCCCACACTACTCTATGCGTGGAAATGTGGAATGCTGTAATAAACCAGGGAAATTAACAATCTTTTCCCCAACCATTCCAGAGTTATCATTCTGTACTTAGTTCTACACTTCTCCATGAGGGAGGTACATAAAAGTGTGACAAACTAAGGGTTTTCTTGATTTTTTTCCAATTATTCCACAGTTTATTTTTATCTTAGTTCTACACAACTATACGCGTGGAAGTGTGGAATGCTGTGACAAACTAGAGATTTTAACCCTTTTCCCCAGCCTTTCCACTTTTGTCACTCTCTACTTAGTTACAAACTTCTCAAAGTGTGGAAGTGTAGAATACTTTGACGTCCACTGTGTGATACACCTTGTTCCATAAGGCCTATTAAAACTTTCCTGAAAAGCCTTTCAAGTGGCAGCTCAATGCGCACTGACGTCATATTCCTACCTTTTTGCTTACTGAAGGCTTTACTTTCTGAAAAGCTGCAGAAAAATGCCTTTGTCCCACTCCCAGAGGGCTTTGTTCAAGAGAAGCCTGGTTCTCAATGGACACATGGCAAGTGGCGCGCGCATTTATACATTCTCGTAAAGCCGCCATACAAGCTTCACGAACCAATGCTGCGAGATCAGCTCCCCTGCAAAGAAAAAAATTGTCATTAGTGGAATGTCGACGTTTAGCTGCAAGGTGCGTTAAATCCGTATCAGCAACCCTAACAAGTTGATCGTTACTAGTTGTACACATGACTCGAGAAAAGACGGCGGGACGCACAATCCAAAGACGGCGGAAGTACACACGAGAGGGAACTCAAGCAAACCACGACGACGGCAACGAGAACGTCACCAAACTAAAGGTTTCATGAGCAGAACAATGGTTATACACACGCGCTATAACTGAATCTTTGTACATTTCTTTGCCGTCCTCTGCAAAATAAGAACGTGAAATGACTAAATTCTGCGTAGACTGAAGAACGCGAACGACGACGGCTAATTTTTAATATTTTTACATGGAATAGAACGCAGTCATTGCATATTTAGCTTGAGCACGTTTTTAGAGCCATTGGCGTACTGAACAGATCTAGACAACTGCAAAATTCAAGGTTAAATATACATTCACTTTTTACCAGGCGTTGTCTTCGGGGTCACCATCGTCATTGCTAAGTTCCCTAATGTTACAGCAAAATTCAATAGAAAACGTGACTGAATAACTGCCGGATAAAATAAATCCGGCAACACGTTCAATGAACTTACTCCTTTCCACTCCCTGTGGATCATAGGTACATAAACGTTCAATGAAACTGAGCTACGCACATTTGAAGCTAAGAAGAAATGACAAGTGATTCCCAACCATAAGTACGGAAACTTATTCGCACGAATAATGTGGGTTTTTTCTAAATGCTTTTTTCGAAAAAATTGCCTAAACGCTGTTGCTGAACTTTCCTTATTCCCAAATGTGCATTTTTACGTTGTTATTTTGTATTCTTAGCGCACCTGTAAACTAGCTGGTGTGTCCTGTAAACTCTGCTTATCAACTCTATGGAACGCACCAAAACCATAGCTAAGTGTGCCACCAAGTAAAATAAACTACGTCTATGTCTAAAGAAGAAATACAACAGGTTACAGCTGACTAATAAATACTTACGATAAACCTTCGCATCTTTCGTCACGCGCAAGATCTGCGATACTAACATCAGGCAGTAGGACCGGTTTTTTCCCGTCCTAAAAAAAGAACAGTAAAATACAGAGGAAAAATCAGTCACTGAAGTTAAACTTTACGATCAAGGGAACTGACAGAGAAATTACTAAAAAAAGTACCGCTGAAAATCCTACTAAACTGGGGCCCATTTCTCGAAAGCCCTCGTAACTTAACGCACCCGAAGTCATATTTTAAGATCTAAATCTAAGGAATAACATTGCGGGTTTTAGCTTTAAACCGGCCCATTCTGTATCGTTTCTTAATATTTTTAATTGTGTGAATTTCCAAGTTATTAATATCTCGATCTTAAATGTGAACAAGGCAAACAAAAAAGCAGCTTTTCGGGACCGGATGGTACCAGGACTTTCGAGAA